GCCTGTATTCCAAGGGTCACAATTAATTTCTGCCAGTTTGAAAAATTTTCAACAGTCCGCCGAAACTGTCTTTTCAACACCATAAAATGCCCTATCATTTCACTTATTACCCAATGCCTAACCCCCCCACTACGAGATTCTGCCACGTGTACGACCACGATACATTGCCCCCTTCCCCTTCCCTGTCTATTCCACTTCACTTCAACACGTACCACGCCGCTTCACCACCCTCGCGGTCGGCCCTCCTCACGGTTAGTCCCCTCCACTCCGCCACCCTTCGCGGTCGGCCCTCCTCATGGTCAGTCCCTCCACTCGGCTACCCTTCACGGTCGGTCCTCCTCATGGTCGGTCCCTTCACTCGGCTACCTTTCACGGTCGGTCCTCCTCATGGTCGGTCCCTTCACTCGGCCACCCTTCGCGGTCGGCCCTCCTCATAGTCGGTCCTTCCACTCGACCGCCTTGCGTAGTTGGCCCTCCTCGTGGTTGGTCAACCCTCTCACAACCCTCATTTTCTTAATTATTCCCTTCATTGGACTAAAGCTGTACTTGGGAATGGGGGACTACTGACATGGGTAGACCCACAAAGGCTATAGCCCACTATGAACAACCCAAGCCTACCACTTGGGGCCCAATACATAATTCAATTAATGAAGCCCAGCACTACTGAAGCCCCACACAGCAATAAGAGCCAATGGCATCAAGACATATGGCAAGAGAAGGGCAAGCCACATTAGCAGACAAAGATCTGCAAATTATTGCCACGGCATATCGCCATTAATGAGGCCCCTTACAGCATTTATTGCGATAACCCCTCTTCATTGGGACAACACGCCCTCACCCTGAACAAGGTAAGTTACAGTATAGACTTTCGGCCAAGGTGATAGGTCGGAAGGGACAACGAAATAATTACCAGAGGATATAAGCAGACACCGAAGACAGGAAGAAGGTTAAGCTTTTCTATCTCTACTCCATCTCTACACTCCACTTCTCTCTCTCTAACTTGCTCGTTGGAGGGTTCGCTGGGGGACTCCCCGTTCCCCGTTGAACTCTCGTGCAGGTTTTCAAGTAAGCTTGGTCATTCGGACATAGGTTTAAAGAGCGTGGATCAGTCCGACCCGTTCTACCATCACGAACTGTATCATCAATATCATTTTTTTTATTTAGTTAACTAACGAATTATTGATGAAAAATTGATCAAGTATTATAAATATGATTAGATTGTTAAGAAGCTTAATATAATTATTGAAAATTTATTAAGTTTACTATATTTTACTCAAATATCAAAAAATTAATATAATTTATCTAAAATAAATAATAATAATCAATTTTTATGTATAACATGGAGAGAAATGTACTGTATGTACCTTGGCCATGTGTTTGTTGTTGCAATTTACGTTAAATTTGGCGATTCAAAAATAATCTATCTATTTATCTTTTTATTTTTTTTCTATCCACTTTTTTTTTGTAAAGAAAGAAATAAAACAAAGAATAAAGATTGAAAGAAGCCAAATGGCATGTTTGGTTTGTATTTGTAGAGTAGTTTTTGAGATAAAAAGTATGAAAACTTGTTTGTTTTTCTTTTTTCAAAAATGGTTTTGAAAAATTATTTTGGGAAGAGAGTTTTAAAGAAAATGATTGATTTGATGTGTATGAGAGAGAGAATAATTTTGGAAAGAAACAAACCAAACAAAATTTTAAAATTTTTTTAAAAAAATTTATTTAATTTAATTACTCTTAAAAAAAATTTCTCAAAATTTTTTCTCAAAAACAAACTAAATAAGCCCAAAGTGGTTAAAGATGAATATGATGAAAGAAAAGAGCAGAGAAGAGTCACGGGGGCGGCACAATTTCATAGGACTCCGCACCTCCATGTCTTCTTTTGTTTACTTTTTTTACGCTGCATTTTTCCCCAGCCTGTTAACATGAAAATTTCATGCTTTTGTGATTTTTGTAAAAAAAATACATATATATTAGGAGTAATTTTTTATATTATATTAATTTAATCAAATTAATATCATCCAATATAAAAACAAAATGGTTCTTTAAAAAGAAATGAACATAAATAGAGTGAATAAACTGTTTTTGTTGTTAAGATAGTTCAAATTCTAAAAAAGTATTTATCAATTTTTTAAAAATAATTACTCAACTTGAAATGATACATATTCTTATTACACATAGGTATGCCAAATTATATAAATCTATTTTAGCAATATATATAATTTTTAAACAGTAAACTTTAATAAATTTTGGAAAAACTAAAAATAAGTGGGACAATAATACAATATTTGCATTTTTATGATGATGCAAATTTTCCACTTGTATGATGCAAGCCTTTCATATTTTTTGTACAAGTCGTTCATGTGTATCATAGTTACATCCAAAAAAAAAAAAATTATTTCAATTATTTTTGTACTATTCCACTTATATGCAATTTCTCCATAAATTTTTAAGCTACTTCCTTGACTCCTAGCAAATAGCATTTGGAATGAAATAATATTCGATTTTTTTATGGAAGGACTATTCTCTTAAAATAGTAAAAAGTAATTTGATTTGTAATATATATTGGTCATTATTTTTTTAATTTAATCAAACATAAGAATAAATATTTTGATAAAATGATCACTCTATTCCACTTCATTCTAATGAAATGCAATTTATTTAAGGAATTGTTATTCAAGTCAAAAAATTAGACTCACTTTTCAAGTTCAATGACGTAATAATCAATTAGAATATTTAAGATAGCACTCTCTCTCATATCTTTTCTGCTTATCAATCAATCATATCACTTACATATTATTAAAATTTAAAAAATAAGCTTGGATATCATTTTTCATTTAGGGAATGTTTGGTTTTTGTGTTGGGCTAAATAATCACAAAATGACACAAAAAAAAGGTCAAAAAATCAAAAAAAATCAAAAAAAATCCACCATCCCAAAGTTAAGAAAGCCAAAAAAAGCTAAAAAAGTCAATCAAGAATACCAAACGAACAAAAAAGTCTCAGGTTAAAAAAGTCAAAAAAATCAAAAAAATCAACTAAAAAAATCATTACCAAACGAAGACTTAGTTGTTTTACACTTACTTAAAAACATTTATTCGAAGAAAGGAAGATGATATACAAGTAGTTTTCGATGTACCAAAAAAAAAAAATATATATATATATATATGTATAATTATTTTTTTATATTTATTTTATGGATTTAATAATATATAAGTGATTTGATTGATTAATAAATTAGGAAAAAAAAATATGAGAGACAATGGTGTTTTGAAAAGTTGGTAAAAAGTTTATTTTTTGGCTTTTTTAATTTATTTTGCTTTTTTATGAGTAAAAAATGTGAGAGGTGATATGACCTAAAATGGGTAAAAAAATTAAAAGCTGACTTTTTACTGGGTTACCAAAGCACCCCAAAATATTACTTTTAATATCTTAATTGATTATCGCATCATTAGACTTGAAAATTAAATCTAATTTTTGAGAAATTTTTGATCTTGAAAATCAAAGGCAACTTGTGGTTTACTTCTTAAAATTCAACTCTATTTTTAAATCATGATTTGGATGAATTTAAAATACAATTCAAAATTAAGGGTGAGCAGTGGATATACCGATCCGCCAAAACCGAACTGAACCGAACTGATCCACTGCATTTTGGACGAATGCCTGATGTCAAATGGACGGTTGCGGATTGATTTTCTCCAATCCGCCAATTTGGCAGACGGATGGCGAATTTGAGATTCCTTTGGCCGCAATCGAACCGCCAAACCGCGAGTACCCTTAGTAATTTATAAGACTTTGTGTTTTCAATTTGTTTGAATATTTTGTTTGTGTTTTCAATTGAAAAGAGTTCAAATGTTCTGTTGAAAAAAAGTTTTTAACTTGAATATATTTTTTTAATTGAAAAAAATAAACATATTATTTATTTATATTTTTTGGTTTTTAAATCTAACTCTAAAAGTAATATATAAAAAATATAATATATGCTGATTGGTTTTTGTTTTCAAAAACATATATAAATGTAACAATACAGAGACATACAATCTCTACTATTGCTTTGTTCATGGTTTTGGTGGTTTACATTGTTTTTATATTTTAAGAACCACAGATTGTAATATTTTATGTGGATGAAGCATGTTGTGATTGTAATATGTAGATGATGCATGCAGTGATTGTGATATTCTAAAGTTTCAAACTTTCTTTCTTTGAATGAGACATGTAGTAATTGTAATACTTTTTTAAGTCATTAACTGTAATACTTTCTTCTTCTTCTTCTTCTTCTTTTTTTTTTTTTTTTTGGGAAGTGCACAAGTTGAATTATGTTGAAAATTTATAAAATTTCAAACCGCCAAACCGATTCGCATCCATCCGCCAAACCGCCAATCCGCTCAAACCACATCCGCCGGATTGGCGGACGGATGCGGATTGATTTTCTTCAATCCGCCAATCTGGCAGACGGATGGCGGATTGAAGGTTTCGTGGCCGCAACCGACTCGCGCCCGCCCCTATTCAAACTTACATTTAAAACTCTTCTCTTCTCTTCTTTTTTTTTTTATTATTCATTCAATTAATCATTTTTTCTCTCTTGTTTCTTCTTTCTCCTCTCATGTTCTTTCATATTCTATACATTAATTAATAAAAAAAATTATAAATCATCCCAAAACTATTTTTAAAATTCATAAGAAAATATATTTTTTTAAAATTATGATTCAAAAATTTAAAATACAAAATATAATTTCATATGTAAATTATAATTTTAAAACTAAACCAATGGAGCCAAATTTTTAAGAAAAATGTTAGGGGTTATAAAATTTCTATCAAATAAATGATCAAATATCTCCCATATAAAATATTTCGTAATTTATTTAATAAAAAATTTGATATACCTAACATTACTCAATTTTTAAAGAAAAATTAACGTTAAATTCACATTGTGGCGTAATGGTAAATATTCGAAGCCGACATAACTCCAAACCAGAACCGCCTTTACATTTTTCTCTCCATTATTATTACTCCCAAGGCTATCTGTGCTCTCACTTTCACTCCCCTCTCTCTCTCTCTCTCTCTCTCTCTCTACAATGGGTACCAAATCCATTGCCATTTTCTTCTCACTCCTCTTCTTTTCTCTCTCTACCTCTCTCTCTCAACCCCTCCAATTCCAAACCCTCTTCCTGCAATCTCTCCCAAAACCACAGTCCCTCTCATGGACAGATTCAGAAACCCTCACCGCCGAATCCGACTCCGAAACCACCCTCTCCGTACAGTTACACCACCGCGATTCTCTCTCCTTCAATGCCACCCCAGAACGCCTCTTCCACCTCCGCCTCCAACGCGACGCCGCTAGGGCCAAAACCTTATCCTCCGCCGTCTACGGCAACACCACCGCCGGCCGCGACTTCAGCAGCTCCATCATCTCCGGCCTTGCTCAGGGCAGCGGCGAGTACTTCACCCGATTGGGCATCGGCACTCCTCCCAAGTACTCCTACATGGTGCTCGACACCGGAAGCGACGTCGTTTGGATCCAGTGCTCCCCGTGCCGGAAATGCTACTCTCAGACCGACCCGGTCTTCGATCCCACCAAATCGAAGTCGTTTTTGGGGGTATCATGTGGGTCCCTCCTGTGCCGGCGGCTCGACTCGCCGGGCTGTAGCAACCGTCGGATGTGTCTCTACCAAGTATCGTACGGCGACGGTTCGTTCACGTTCGGCGATTTCTCAACCGAAACGCTGACGTTTCGGAGCACCCGAGTCCCCAACGTTGCTCTCGGATGCGGTCACGACAATGAAGGGTTATTCGTCGGCGCCGCCGGGTTGTTGGGTTTGGGCCGGGGGAAGTTATCGTTTCCGACTCAAACCGGTCGCCGGTTCGGCGGCAAGTTCTCGTACTGTTTGGTGGACCGGTCGGCTTCTTCTAAACCGTCTTCGGTGGTTTTCGGTGACTCGGCGGTCTCGAGAACCGCCTTGTTCACTCCCTTACTCACAAACCCAAAGCTCGACACTTTTTACTACGTCGGACTCACCGGAATCAGCGTCGGAGGAGTCCGAGTCCGAGGCATTACGCCGTCGCTTTTCAAGCTCGACAACACCGGAAACGGCGGCGTCATTATCGACTCGGGCACCTCCGTCACCCGCCTGACCCGACCCGCTTACATCGCCCTTCGCGACGCTTTCCGGGCCGGAGCATCCGGATTGAAACGGGGGCCCGAGTTCTCGCTCTTCGACACGTGTTTCGATCTCTCTGGCAAGACGGAGGTGAAGGTGCCGACGGTGGTGATGCACTTCGTCGGTACTGACGTGTCGTTGCCGGCGTCGAATTATCTGATTCCAGTGGACAGTAGTGGTAGTTTTTGCTTTGCGTTTGCGGGTACAATGAACGGGTTGTCCATAATTGGGAATATCCAACAACAGGGGTTCCGGGTCGTGTATGATCTTGCGGGTTCGCGGATCGGGTTTGCTCCACGTGGGTGTGCTTGATTTGGATATGGGTTGTTTGGGAGATGGGAAAACTTTTTCCCCTGCTAAGTTATCTTTCTTTCTTTTCTTTTTCCTAATCTTTGAGGGGAAGATACTGATAAAGGAGGAAGAGATGATGTTTTTTTTGTTTGTAGTGTCCTGCTTAAATTATTGCTGCTTAAATTATTGCTTTGATACAAGGCAAGATAACCCTTATAAAGTTATGTTGTTTAGTTTTTTATATATTACTTTTTGATTTGATTTAGGTAAAGAGTAATGTCTAATTATTGTTATTCTTATGTTATCTAAAAAGTGTCATGGGCGAGGTGGGTTAACTTTTTTCATACAAAATGATTAAAATCTCTTTTCCTAAAGAGTAATGTCTAATTATTGTTCTTCTTATGTTATCTAAAAAGTGTCCTGAGGGAGGTGGGTTAACTTTTTTCATACAAAATGATTAAAATCTCTTTTCTAAAATAAGTTATTTTTGTTTAATTTTATCTACTAATCAAACACGTTCTTAACAGTACTATCATGGACAATTCACAGGGATTCAAAACGTTATGGCCCGGTTGTTTAGAGAGTTAGAGGGAGAATTGGGATTGATAGTGAGGTGAGATTCATTAATATTGGGTTTGTTTTGAGAGATAGGGAGGGAATTGATAGTGAGTTTCGAATTAGGATGGGCCTCCTTAAGGGGATTCAGATGGGTTTCAAGGACTTGGTATTGGTATTAGAAAAATAGTCCGGCGGATTAAAAATTTTTTATTTTTATTTATTTTTTATTTTATTTTTTACATGTCGAGCATTTTTTTTAAATATTAATATTTAATTTTTTGTATTTTTTATTTATTTTTTTCTAGAAATTTTTTATTTTTTAATTTTTTTTTACATATTGGGTATTTTTATTAAAACATTAATGTTTAATTTTTTTTTTGTATTTTTTATTTATTTTATATAAAAATAATTTGACAATCTCTACACTAACAACTATCATCAAAACAAACACAATTTTACTTAATCCTCTCACTATCAATCCACTCACTAACAATCTCCTCACTATTAATCCACTCACTATCAATCCCCTCCATTCTATCTTTGAAAACAAACGGGGCCTAGAAGATATGCAAGTACCAAATGATATTATACGGTTTTAGGTTTGAGTTTAGATTTTATATAGAATAAGAGAAGATACTATGGGGGAGGATGTATAATAAAAATATATACTATTTGTATACGGTCCGGATCGGTTCAAATCCGGAACCGTGAGGTTCAATCCGGAACCAATCCGTGTACTACGGATTTTTAATTTTTCAATCCGGAACCGAACCACAGATTCAAAAAATCAATCCAAACCTATCGGATTGGACTGGACTGGATCGGATTTCGGATTTCACGGATTCCTTGCTCAGCCCTACATTTCGATGTAACAATCCTAAGATAACTACATATATATGAGAGCCTGTGTTTGGCAAGTGGGTTTGCAGGTTTTTTTTGTCTATTTTAGCCACAAAAAATAAAATAGGCTATTTTAGCCATAACAAACAAAACATCACATTCAACCCATAATCATTACATTCTTCTCTCACAAAAAAATTCAAAATAGTCAAAAAAGTCAAAAAGTCAAAAAGTCAACCCATTTTCCAAACGGAGGCAGAATTTTTTAAGTGCACAAAAAATACTTACATCTAAGACTTGCAACACCATGACAAATGAAAACCAAAAAAAAATTAAAACCAAATTTGAAAATGGTGGTCAATGCCTTGTGAATAATAGCACTGCCTTAGCCAAAAACCAACAACAATGATTCATTCCACTAAAAACATCACCACTAATAGCATTAATGCATTAAAAAAGTAAAAAAAAAAAATACAACTTCAAGACCAAAACATCACATCATTAATGACGAGACTCACTGTCACCTAATTAGTGGGAGCATTAATTAGTACTCCCAAGCATTTTTCCAAAAACCAATTGTGAATAAAGATGAGTCACATTGACATGGCGGCAACAGAGTCAAAAATAGTGGGCACCGAAGCTCCTCTAATCACGCTATAACAGACAATGCTGTTTGGTAAATAATTTGTTGAAACTTGTCACCCATTGTCTCTATTAGATTTTGTTTTGATAATGTGTATGTATGTCACAATTTCCAAGGATGTGCATGTACCTACGTAATATGCATGCTAAAAGTTAGGCTTACGATTGTAAACTAGTTGAATTTTAAAAATGATTTGAGTCAAGATCAATTCAAGTGTATAAGGTCATTAAAATTATTGTCTTGAGTCTTAAGTTAAAGGGCATTTCCAGTAATATTAGTTTAAATAGTTACTCAAAATCTCGTTAAATTTAAATTTAAATATATATCAAACATACATAGAGAAATAAAATAAAATAATGAAAATATATTTAATATATTATTCAAAATGAAAAATAAATTATATTTTTTTGTATTTATGAGTCCAATCGAATTGAGCTTGAGTTTACTTAGATTCAATTCAATTATTAATCAAGTTTAAAAATTAAGTTTGTTTGTCTAACAATCAAATTTAAATTATTTATGAACAACTCTATTTGTTTTGTAACTTTAGTTGGACTGAAGCTCGATTATTAGTCTAGTTATCTAGTAATCTTGAATACTCATTTAATTTATATTCAATTAATAGTATAGTCAATGAAAGAACAAAGCTGCTACAGACCTCGAATATAATTGGCGCGAATGGCGCGAATGAAGCGATTTATCCATTCATCACGCACAGCAATACCTGTGGATTTCACGCTCCTACAAAACAATATTACGACCTAGCAACTCTGCTTCTTGGGAGATAGAAAGACCACGACGTAGCTGGCGACGATGATGACGACCTAGAAGACCACCGGTGACCATTGACCACCGTCTACCACTCTCCAATTCCTCCGATTTCACTGAAAATTTCGGCTCCACCACCAACAACGAACTGATTCGTGGGTCACTGGTATTGCTTCAAACATTGACATTTGCTTTACATTGGTTGAAATCTGGTTGGTCTATGATTTTGCTCATATTTTCTTTACATTGGTTGTAATCTTCTTGGTCCATAACAAGATTTTGGTATTTTTGTATTGATGCATTGTATGTGTTTGTTGAAAGTCCACATAGAAAGAATATGTAGAATTTCTGAGGCCAAGATGCTCTGTGTTTGTGTTAGAATTTCTGAAGCAGAATCCAATAGTATATCCAAGGAACCATTGTCTCTATGACTATGAACCCCTCACCATTCTTCTTCTTGTTTGGTTCTGATCCCACCTAACTTGTTTGCTTCCATCTTGACAATTGCTAAATGAACCAAAGTCTATATAGAATTCTATGACCACATTTTTTGTCATTTTCTGAACATTCATTGAACAAAATCTGTTACCCATTATGAAATTTTTTTTTTTTGTTTACATACGTATCCATTATGAATTTTGTTTTTTGAACAGAATATGTTATCCATTATTTTCTTTACATATGTGTTTTTTTGTTTTTATTTTTTGTTTACATACGTATCCATTATGAATTTTGTTTTTTGAACAGAATATGTTATCCATTATTTTCTTTACATATGTGTTTTTTTGTTTTTATTTTTTGTTTACATACGTATCCATTATGAATTTTGTTTTTTGAACAGAATATGTTATCCATTATTTTCTTTACATATGTGTTTTTTTGTTTTTATTTTTTGTTTACATACGTATCCATTATGAATTTTGTTTTTTGAACAGAATATGTTATCCATTATTTTCTTTACATATGTGTTTTTTTGTTTTTATTTTTTGTTTACATACGTATCCATTATGAATTTTGTTTTTTGAACAGAATATGTTATCCATTATTTTCTTTACATATGTGTTTTTTTGTTTTTATTTTTTGTTTACATACGTATCCATTATGAATTTTGTTTTTTGAACAGAATATGTTATCCATTAGTTGAATACCGTAAAGTAGAAGAGAGGGAGCGTGAATCACACGCGTCGAGGCATTCGCGCCTCACTTTGTCGAGGCACGAATCTTTTTCCATGAAAGAATAATGAGAAGAACAAGAGACAACACCATCTCTATACATGTGCCATGGTGGTCCATGTGCAAAGACCATGTTCCCATAAAATGTGCATCACTATGATCCAATACAATTTTTCGCATATATACAATTGTCCCACCAAAACATTGAATGGAATCCCTTTTAGACAAACAAGGTGTCACTAAGACATTCTTCCCACTAAGATATGAGGGGTGTGCTTGTTTAGTTTTGAGAGAGAAGTTTCGGAAAAAAAAATAAAAAAAAATTGTTTGCTTTGAGATTTTTCTTAAAAAAATTTTAAAATCACTTTTTCTCTTATATATTAATCAATCATTTTTTTTCTCCTCTCTTATTCTCAATCACTTTCTCTCTCACGCACATCTATTCAATTATAACAAAATATCAAATCATTCCAAGCTCTCATATTTCAAAACTATTTTCAAAATATGCAACTAAAGAAACTAAAAAAATTTCTAAACTCTCTTCCTAAAACTTTTTTTAAAAATTACTCTCTCAAAAGCAAAGCAAACCAAACACACCCGGCATTTCCTTCTCTTATAGGGCCGTACAGTGAGAATTGAGGCAATCCATATTGCTAAGGGGGAGAATATTATGTACCCACTGCTTAAATGATGTCTATCATATATATTTTATAATTAAAAAAATAGTATAATTTTAAATTTTTTGAGTCATAGCTAAAAAAAAAATTATCATAACTAAATCCAACATGAAATATAACTAAAAATCTCATTAATTATAATTAAAATAATGTCATAACTAAAAAAAATAACACAAGTAAGAGCGAATATCATCCACCCCTTCTAAGAATGTGTATATTAGCATTTTCCTGCATTTACATATGTGTGTGTGTGCGCGTTGATGGGGTAATCAATGCAGAGATAAGCCACATTCTTTTAGATTTATAAAATAATAAATGGTTAATGCCTTTTGAGTAGTGATCAGGCCGAAGGATACTCTCATGATTAAGTTAGATGTTATTCTATATATAATGAAAATCCTTGAGGTCCAACCTCCTAACCAACAGTGCTTCGCCCAGGAGATTGGCCCAAGGGGAGGAATTGAACTTGTGACCTTGGGGCTTAAACCCCAAGACTTTACCACAATGCCACAACCCCTTGGGTTATAAGAGCGAATATCATCCACCCCTTCTAAGAATGTGTATATTAGCATTTTCCTGCATTTACATATGTGTGTGTGTGCGCGT